TGGCTGGCAGAGATGGGATCAAACTGGGGTTTTCTTCTGCTGCCTCCAAGGACACATGGCACTGCACCCTGTTCCTCTCCAGAGCAGCCTCCACACCCACCTGCCTCAGGCCAAAAACACCTCAACTGAGCAAGGGCCACTTAGCAGCTCCATGTCCCCATTGTGTGGGGACACTTCAGGCTGCCATCATGCAGATGGGTTAGGACTCCCCTTGGCCAGGCCCAGGGATCTGCACAGCACCCCAGGTGCTGTCACCTCCCCACACCTGGCCCCAGGGCTTCCATGGGCACCAGGAACCAAAATTGTTCCTGCTGAGCTTGGAGTCACCATCCCTGCTGGGGTGGCCAGGGTGGGCCATGCATGGGGCAGAGCTTGGTGAGAGCACCAGTCCCTCCACCTCCCCCACACTGGTTTGGTGACCTTGGCCAGTGAGGTCTGTTAGCTTTGCCTGGCATTGCTTGAAGCTCCTCAATGCTGGCCAATGACCACAACAGTGAGGTGGCTCTAACCTGTCCAGCTGGAATGTGCCTGGAAAATTACAAGGACCTGTTGGCAGCCCAACCCTGCCAGCTCCTCCACGGCTCCTCAGACATGACCCAGCTGCCACCAGAGCACTCAGAGCACAGGCTGAGCTCTCAACAGCTTGAAATAAGCCCGTGAGTGACTGAAATCACATTCCATCCTGCCCTTTGGGGGACCACAGGATTGAGCCAAGAGACTGCACTGAAGAAATCCCCTACCAGGATGTTCCTGGATGGTTTGGTGCACCTCAGGCCTGGAAAAGGACATGAGACAGCCTTGGCCAGCCAGGAAAAGTGATGTCCCACTCATGGCTTGAGCCCTTTAAGTCAATCCCACTGTGTTTCCTCTCCCCACAGCAGCCTGGGGGCTCTTACCTGGCCTCAGGTTCAGCTCTATCCTCTGGGGCCTCATCTGGGTGGTGCTGGAGCCTCCTGAGCCCTTGTTGCTGAGGGGCTGGTCCTGCTGGATGGTCACGGTGCTGATGGGGAACTCAATCTCATCCTGCCCACAGCCCTTCTGCAGGAGGTTGGCATGAAGGTCACAGCGAGGGGAGGACTCTGCCCAGTCCTACCAGACAGGGATAAAGTCAGGAGCCAGTTCCCCTGGGAATGGGATCCCAGGGCTGGAGTAGCTCTGCTCTGGAGCCAGGCTGGGAGAGTTGGGGGGTTCAGCCTGGAGAAGAGAAGGCTCCAGGGAGACCTTAGAGCAGCTTCCAGTGCCTGAAGGGGCTCCAGGAAAGCTGGGGAGGGGCTTGGGACAAGGGCAGGGAGGGATGGGATGAGGGGGATGGATGAAAACTGGCAGAGGGAGATTGAGGTGAGACATGAGGAGGGAATTCTTTGGTGTGAGGGTGGTGAGAGCCTGGCCCAGGTTGCCCAGGGAAGCTGTGGCTGCCCCATCCCTGGCAGTGTTGAAGGGCAGGTTGGATGGGGCTTGGAGCAGCCTGGGCTGGTGGGAGGTGTCCCTGCCCATGCAGGGGTGGGACTGGATGATCTTGAAGGGCCCTTCCAACCCAAACCAGCCTGGGATTCTTTAACTGCCAGGAGGAGAGAGGGCTCCTCTCCCCACAGAGCCCCTGGCCCTGCCAAACCCCTCCTGACCCCCAGGCAGCTGGAGCCTCAGGTTTGGGTTTGGCAGAGCCCAAAGGAGAGCCTGGCTCTGGGGGATGACTTGCTGAGGACAAGGCAGGATGTGACCATGGCAGCTGGGGGAGAGGGGCAGAGTTTGAGACTTTCCAAATCATCTTCTGAACTCTGGCCAAAGTTGAGCTGCCTTCCCCCCTCCTCCCCCACGTTCTTGGCACGTGCCCTCAGAAGTCTCCCTGCCAACAGGGAACAGCCCTGGGTGAGCCCCTGGTGTGCCAGTGCCTGAAGGGGCTCCAGGAAAGCTGGGGAGAGGCTTGGGACAAGGGCAGGGAGGGAGAGGACAAGGGGGGGATGGATGAGAAGTGGAAGAGATTGAGGTGAGACATGAGGAGGGAATTCTTTGGTGTGAGGGTGGTGAGAGCCTGGCCCAGGTTGCCCAGGGAAGCTGTGGCTGCCCCATCCCTGGCAGTGTTGAAGGGCAGGTTGGATGGGGCTTGGAGCAGCCTGGGCTGGTGGGAGGTGTCCCTGCCCATGCAGGGAGTTGGATCTACATGATCTTGAAGGTCCCTTCCAACCCAAACCAGCCTGTGTTTCTGCAACTGCCAGGAGGAGAGAGGGCTCCTCTCCCCACAGAGCCCCTGGCCCTGCCAAACCCCTCCTGACCCCCAGGCAGCTGGAGCCTCAGGTTTGGGTTTGGCAGAGCCCAAAGGAGAGCCTGGCTCTGGGGGATGACTTGCTGAGGACAAGGCAGGATGTGACCATGGCAGCTGGGGGAGAGGGGCAGAGTTTGAGACTTTTCAAATCATCTTCTGAACTCTGGCCAAAGTTGAGCTGCCTTCCCCCCTCCTCCCCCACGTTCTTGGCACGTGCCCTCAGAAGTCTCCCTGCCAACAGGGAACAGCCCTGGGTGAGCCCCTGGTGTGGGGTGGTGCTTGGTTCCTGCTGGAGAAGGGGTCAGCCTTATCTCCAGCCCTCCAGCTTCCTGCCAGAGGGAGCTGGGCAGGGAAAGGAGAACCAAAAAAGGAGTGAAGGAGCCAAAAGGCAACGGGGGCTGCAGAAGCTGCCAAGGACCCATCAGGGGCAGGAAGCACCGAGTGTGGAGTCATGGTGGGGCTCCAGCCCCATCCCTCCCTTCCTAGAAAGCTCCTTGCCCTTATCACACACGTCCAGGAGGGCTCCCAGGGCTTCACTTTCTCACGAAGATAAATATGGAAAGAATTTCTTTCCCAGTCCAACACTGCCAAGATCTCCTGCTGCACATTCTCAGCCAGGCAGCAACCACCCTCCCCTCCAAAGGGTTTCTCCATCCCCCTCCCACAGCCCAAATCTTTCTGCCTTCAAAGTCAGCAGCAAAAGACCAGCACAGACTTTCCCTGCAGTAAAGGGGAAGGGGTGACACAAATCCTGGTGGAGCTGGTTCAGCTTCTTCCCTGCTCCTGGGAAGCTGGAGCCCAACACCACAGCCTCCCAGCACTGGAGATGTTCCCCACCCAGGAAATCATCTCCCCTGGGCTCAGTCTGGCCAAAGCCAGGAAGGAGTTGGTGTGTATTACACAAGCAATAAGACACAGACAGTGTCAGGAGGCCCTGGTTGGCCTGAAGCCCTCTGGACATGGTGGCCAGAAAATACATCAGCAGGCGTGTTCCTCCCCCATGGCCTCCCACCCCAGCCCTGCCCAGGCAGCCTGCAGGGGGTGGAGAAGACAAGTCATCTCCTAAATTAGCTCCTTGCCCTCACTCCCTCACCCCAGCTGTGCCTGGGTCACCCCAGGGCTCACCCATCACCATGTTCCTGCCCATCCCAGGTGGGGCAATCACAGAATCACACAGAAGTGATAAATCAATGACTGGAAAGGTAGGTGGGGGCAAAGCAGGCTGGGCTGGCAGGGTTTTCACTGTGGGGCTGGGCTCTTGGGTGGTACCTGGAGGCCCTGAGGAGCTCCCAGCACCTCAAAGACCACGGAGCACCTCACAGGGCTACCAGGTTCACACCTCCAGCCAGATCCCCGTGGAGAAGCTATTGAACCCCAGGACCACATTGTTCCCCTTTCCCTGGAGCCCTGAACACCACGACTGACTCAGGATGCTCAGGACCCTCCCAAGCAACAAAACCACTGCAAAAGGCCAAGGAAAATTGTTCCTGTGGGGCACTGATGGGGCATTTGGCCACGAGGCCCAACAACCCCCAGTCAGTCCCTGGGGACTTGCAGGCTCAGGGAGGTGGACAAACCCCAGGTAGTGTCCCAGAGTGACCCTGGGGCAGCCCAGGCTTTGCTGGTGACAAACACAGGGACCTCACCCATGGGCACACCCCCTGGAAGCCCCTCACCCACAGCCCAGCCCTGATGCCATCAGCTCCTCAGCCTGGAGGTGCTGGGAGGAGGGGGCTACACATGGTCCCACCTCCTCTGCCAGCCACTCCCCAACCCCACCTCCCCTCGGCCACCTCTGTCCCTCTGCAGGGAAGGTGGGTTTGGCTCAGCATCTTCTCAAGCTCCCTCTGGGATGGGAAACCTGAGGAGTTCACCCTCTGCCTCCAAACCCTGGAAGCAAGGACAGGGTCAGGCCGGGTGGTGGCAGAGGCAGCTGCAGCCCCCAGCTCCCTCACTGCTGGCCAGGAGGAGACTGTGGGAAGTCCCACATCCCCAGGGCATCTCTGGTCTGTCTCACAAACAACCACACACACCACCAGCTTCCCTCCAGCAGAGCTCCTGGGATGACCCAAAGCACAGATGCCTCCACAGATTAACCTAGAACTTGCCAGCAGCTTCTCTAAATCAACCTCTAGCTCTGCCTTGTCTTCACTTTTCCTCCAAGGGAAGCAAAGCAGAGGACATTTTGGGTGGGTGAGACCCTGGAGGATCTGCCACAATAAACATAGAGTGGGTTGGGTTGGAAGGGACCTTCAAGATCTTCTAGATCCAACCCCCCTGCATGGGCAGGGACACCTCCCACCAGCCCAGGCTGCTCCAAAGTGATTTTAGAGCCATGACCTAAGAGTTCAGGCTTGGCTGACTCTTCCAAAAGGGTGAAATGAGTGGATGAACATGTCTGGTTGTTGGTAAGACTGGTCATGTTTCCCTCAAGAACTAAATTAAACTCAAAACTAAACCTAAACAAACTCAAAACCGAAATAAAACTCAATCCTCCTCCATGTCAGGGCTCAGTGAAACCCCCAGGAAACCCTCCCTTGATAACCCTGGCTCCTTGGGAAGGGAGAGGCAGGAGCTCAAGGAAGGGAACCGGCCCTTTTAAAGGAAAAAAAAGGGGGGGGCGGCATCAGGGACCTCCCCCACCCCAGGGAAATGAAACAAACCCACAGGAAAAAAAACCCTCATTAGGTAAATGAAGGCAATGGGGTCCAGATGTTGGAGCAGAGCTGGCCCAGCCCGGCTCTGCTCGGTGGGACTGGGACGGGTCCCTCGCCGCTGGGCACGGCTGCCCTGAACATTCCCTTGTTTGGAAACCTTGGCTGAGGTCGGGGGGAGGAGGAAAGAAGAAATCCCAACCCTATCACAGCCCAGGAAGGCGGCTGGGAGGGAGGGAGCTCAGCCAACCCTTCCCACTCGGAGAGGGGAGCCCCTGATCTGCCCCAGGGTCCAGCCATTCCCTGCAGGAGCTGCTTTATCCGCTCCCCAGATCCTCCAGGAACACACTGACCCCAAAGCATCAGCCCCCACAAGCACAGGAACCAGCGTTTTCCAGCTTGGATTGGGGTGTTTTTTCCCGGGGTTTTATCCCAGTGGGCAGCACAAGCAGCAGCTGGAGGAGCTGGGATCTCAGGATGGAGAAGGAAGGGCAAGGAAAGCCCAAAGGAGGTTCCCTCCTCTCTGCCCCAGGGCTCCTCTCCCATCTTGTTGGGAAATTCCCTTCTCTTCCCACCCTGCTGGACTAACCCCCCGGGCAGCATTTTTGGAGGGAGATCAGATCTTCTGGGCTCTCACCCACCCAAACAGGGGGTTTGGGAGCCCCAGCTCAGCTCTCACCCCCTCTTTTGCTCAGGAACCAAACCCAGGGACCTTCTCTTTCCAATGAACAAAAAAAAAAGGCCTTTCAAACCCAAATCCTAATGCCTAATCAGCAGTTTTTCCTTCCTCCCCCAGGCTCCCTTCCCTTCCCAGCCCCTCCAGCAATGAAGCTCCTTTAGCCAGAGCTTTACAAAGAGTTTCCAAGAATCAAACCAGTTTTCAAATGTACATTTTTTTTGAGAGACCAAGTGAATTCCCAGCAGCATTTCCCACTCAGCTCCACGTGCCTCACCCCAGCACACCCAGACAAGGGGCAGATTTCTGGGGCAGAGCAGGAGGAACAGGCACCTGGAGCTGTGATCAGAAACAGATGCCACCAAGAAATGTGTTTAGACACAGTGGGAAGAGATGGAGACCAAATCTGTGGCTCTAACACAGTGACCAGCCCACAGCCCAAAGGCTTGTCCCTTCCTACGTGTCCCCTGTCTTGCCTGGGGAGGTGTTTCAACCCTGCTTGGACCCCCCAGCTCTTACCTCTGAGGAGCACCAGGCACAGAGGGGGCTGACAGCCAGGCACTGCTTGCAGGAGCTCACCCCACGGGTGCTGCAGATGTTACCCCCTGAAACAGCAGGGCAGAGAGTGGTCACAAGCTGCAGGACCCCAAACCCACACGTGTGCTGAGGTTTCAGTGCTCAGCTGCAGATTCTCACCCCACCAGGACTCTGCTTCACCCCATTTCCCATCCCCAAACCCCAGGTGCTGCCTCCTGGCCCCTTTTATAAGCACCTCCCCAGCTCGGTACCAGCTGGGCTTCATCCTGCTGGTGCTGAGCATCATTTCCCACTTGCCAGCTCCTTAAAGGATCCCCTCCATCCCAGCAAGGCCACACGTGGGCTGGAGTGAAGCCCCCACTGCTGGCAGGGGGACACGTCTCCCCTTGTCCTTCCCTGCAGAGATTTGGGGGGAGCAGGGAGGGGAAATGGGTGAATCCCCAGGGGTGCAGAGTGGGACCCCCAGCCCTGCCAGCAGCTAGGGAACTGCTGCCTCTTCCCCCACCACCCCAGGGTGGTCGGTGCCCTCTTGTGAAGGTGCTAAACTCAGCAGCTGGTCCTGGCTTGGGTTCAAAGCCAGGGGAAGGAGGAGAGGGAAAGGACACAAGGCTGGGAACGTGTGGGTGAGGGATTGTACCAATGCCCTGGGCAAAGGTTGGGCTCTGTGGGTGGAAGTGGGGACTTTGGGAGACACACACCGGCACCAGTCGTGAAGGTCAGAGACCAGCAGGTCTTCAAGGGGCATCAAAGGCCCCCCCAGATGCCTGCAGGGGCCCCAGGGCAGCAGCAGTGACCAGGAGGCTCCTTGGCAGAGGCAGCAGCAGCTCCCTGGGGCCACAGTGGGGTGAGCAGCTGGGGACATGGCTTGATGGTGTCACCCTCAGCTCTTCCTCCCTCCTGGGGCAGAGTTTGAGCATTCCCTGAGGCAGACCCTGCAGCCTGGGCAGCCCAGGGGATGCTGAGCTGGAGCAGCAGGTGCTGGGATCTCCCCCTTGTCCCTGCCCAGGGCTCTTCCCAGCAGCCACAGGCAGAGCAACGTTTCTCTGCAGCCACAGGAAATGCAACACAAAGCAGAAAGAGGAAACTGAGGAGGGGTGTCATCAGGTCCCTGGGCAGGGGTGTCATCAGGTCCCTGGGCAGGGGTGTCATCAGGTCCCTGGGCAGGACCACAGGGATGGCACCGTGTGCTCGTGCCTGCTGGGCTGGGAGTGGGAGTGTGCACAGGTGTGTGTGTCTGTGCCACACGTTGTGCATGTGCATATCTGTACAAGCTGGTGTCCCAGGCTGAGCTGGACCCACTCTGGCTGTCCCAAAGGCCAGCAGGTACCTGGGGACATGGCCCAGGTCACCATGGCCCCACCAGGCCTCTGCCACCCACCCTCCCTGCTTGTTCTGTGCAGGGGGACAAAACTCCCAGCTCAGCACCAGCTTTGGGGTGGCATCTGCTCCCAGAGCTCTCTCCAAACACCACCTGCAGCAGGTGAGGATGGGGAAGATTTTAAATTTAGCTTCACCCCAAAAAAGAGCCACAGGTTGATCCCTGGTGCTTCCTGCCCCAAGGAGCAATGTGTGAGCAGCAATTCTGGAGCTGAGGGTGGCTGGGGCTGGGCAGGGGGGAGGTAAAGGGCTCTCAGAAAGCAGCAGCACTGCCAGTGCTGGATCCTGCTTCTCCCTCCTGCCCCTGCTGTGCCCGTGTGAAATCCCTCTGCCTTGCCAAGGTGGTGGCTGCAGCCCAGCCCTGGGACACGTGCCTTGGCTTGGGAACGTGCAGCTGGAGCCACCCCGGGGGCAGTTGGCAGCAGCTCAGCCCTGTGGGACAGCAGGGGAGGAGGCATCATCCTGGCAGCCCTGGGGGACAGGGGTGGCCCTGCCACCTCGAGCTGTTTGGGATTAGATTCCCAGAGCTGCCAACCCCTGGGCCACGTGCCCAACCAGCAGGTCCCTGAGGAGCCCCAAGGCTTTGGGAGCAGAGCAGGACAAGGGCCAGGGCTGGGGACAGCAGTGCCAGGCAGCACCTGCCCCGTGCCAGCAGCTCCATGGCTTTCTGCTCTCATGTCCCTGCCTGTGGCTGCTCTGTCCTGCTGCTCAGCCCAGTCCTGGCAACACTCCTGGCCCAGACTCCAGTTTGATGCTGGTGCAGGGTTTGCTCCCTCAGGGTGAGTTTTAGCTTCTTGCAGGATGGTTTAGTGCCCCAGCTCTGCCCCAGCACCCACTTGCTGGGGATGTGCAGAGCTGATAAGGGTCACTGCCACCCATGGGTGCTCCAGCCACACTCCCAGCCAGGGAATGGGACTCAGGGCTCACACCAGTATCCGGGATGTGAGATGCACTGGTCCAAATCCTGACACAAACAGGTTTCCCCTGTGACTTGAGCCAAGTCCCTCAGCAACCCCCTGCCTCAGTTTCCCCTCTGCCCCGTTGGCTGCACGGAAACACGACGTGGAGCTTTTCCAGGCTCCTGTCTGCTGGCAGAGCCCCTGGATGGCTCCAGTTTGCCATGAAACCTGAGCTCTGGGGCAGCAAATAAAGGCTCCGTACGGTGCTGGAGCTCAGGGAATTGTCCTTGGGGGAACAAGTCTTGGTGTAGCAGGACACCCTGGGGACGAGGGACCTTCCCTGAGCTCCAGCACCCTAAGGAACCTTTGCTGCACTGAACTTGGGGCTGGATGGAGCAGGACTGTCCCTTTCCCCTGGGAAGGGGCTGAAATCCCCAGGGAAGCCCGCGGTGACTCCCTAGGGGCAGTTCCCACCCTCCCAGCTTGTCTCCTCCTGCTGTGAGGGGGCAGCCTCACCCTGCCCTGCGGCCTCATGGCCCCAGTTGGGCATTTCCAGGAGCCGGGGCTGGGGGGGCTGTGCAGGAGGGAGGTGGGAAGGGGGGACCTGGGGGTGCTGCTGGAGCCTTTCAGGCTGTGGCCCTTCCCAGGCTTGGGACACTGCCCGGCTCTGAGCAGGTTAACAAGATCCCAGCACAGCCCAGACTCATTAATTCTGTGGTTTTTCAGTTTCTCTAGGTTTGGTTGGTTGGTTTTCTTCCCCCTCCACCACACCACCCCCTTTTAAGTTATTTCCCCCCCCCCCCCCTTTTCATTCTTGGGGGTTTGTTTTTCCAGCCATAAAAACTAATAAACCCAAGCACAAGAGCTGCATTTTCTTACCAGGAAAGCAGCTGATCCTGAAGACTCAGCCTCAAAAAACTAACACAACCCCAGCCCATGAAACCCAGGCCCTCCAACCACCCCAGCTGCCTGGGGCTCAGCATCGCCCTTCCCTGGCTGGAGAAAATTACTCAGTCCCTAAATGTGACCTCCAAGCAACCTCCTGGATGTGCTGTGGGAACCAGTCACCAGCTTTTGTTTGTTCCCCTTCGGCCAATTGGAGCAAGAATGTGCAGAGAGGGAACCTGATGGGGATAGTTCAGCCAACTTGAGAAAGACACAAACCACTCGTGCATCATCTCTGGCTTTTCTGCTTGACTCAGGGATAAGGATTTGGGCTTTTTTTTTGGGCTTCTCTCCTGCCCCATCCTGGGGTTTGTCTTCTCCGTGGCTTTTCCCATCTGACAGGGTCTTCCCAGAGAAGGGATGTCCCAAAATACACAAGCACCAACTCCCAGGACCAGCAGAACTACCCAAACGACGTCCCTATCAACTCCCAACTCTTCCAGGGATTATCCCATATCCTGCCCTCACGTCAGGTCCCTCCCGCAGCAGATTGGAGCCTCAGGCTGTTCCTGGGAATTCACCAAAGCCTGGAATTCTTCAGACAGAACAATGTTGCCCCGAACTCCCTGACCTCGGGAAACAACGGGACCGATTTATAAACCAGGAGCCGTTTTGCAGTTGTTGGATTTGGCTTTGAGCCCCCGAAACGCACCTGGGGAGGGGGGGACACACACACACCTTCCTGGGCTGGTTCTCATTCCAGACACTGGAATTTTTTGTAAAAAAGTACAAATCCCATTTGTCCTGAAATCCCCTGATGCCAGAAACCAAAGGGTTTTGAACAGAAAAGCACCGAAATAGCACGAGGGAAATAAAGAGCACAAGATGGTAACGGTGACACCAACACCCTCCGTGCCCTGAAAATGAGGTGGATAAAGTGACAACCCGCCCTGAAAGTTCCCCCCGGAGTCTTTTCTGTTTGTGAAGGACAGAGCCCAGAAGTCACACCCCAGTCCTTCCATTACAAACCAGTCCCCGGAGCCAAACCCAGCGTAGGTAGGAAATCAGCCCCCGCCGCACCCAGTAACGCCCCGAACCGGGTCCCGACCCCCCAACATCTTGGAGCATCTCAGCAGCGCCCAGGTCCCAGCTCCCCCCTCCCAGCGGTTTTCCCGGGAAGTCGCAGCCCTTGGGAAGGCAGAAAGCCCTGGGATTTTAGGAGAGATACTCAACAACCCGCCTGGAAGCAGAAGACGATGCTGCGGGTTGAGAACCTACCCCGGGCAGCGGCAGAGCAGAGCGTGAGGATCCCGAGAGCCAAGCTGAGCGTTCCCATCTTCCCCCCCCCCCCACAAAAAAAAAAAGCCCCGAGCTCGGGGAGCTGCTCGGCCCGGGGTCCCTCCGGGAGCGATGGGGAGAAGTTGTGGGGCTGCCGGAGGTTGTGAGCGGTCCGGGGGATGAATCATGGGGCTGGGTTTGTGACACCAGCGGGGCCGGCCGGAGGAAACTGCGCTGCCTCGTCACGGAGTGCGGGTCCCACCCCCCCGGCTCTGCCCGCAGCTCCTCGGGGGTTTTTCCCCCCTCTCTCAGCCCAGACAAGGACCTCATAAACCCTGGCAGAGAGCACAGTGACCTACAGCCCCCGGGGCTGCTGAAAGGCTCCTTCCCACAGGCTCTTTTCGCCGGGGTTTAATTCCCTACCAAGTCTCTCTGGCTCCCTGGTGTTTGTTAACTCTTGCTTGAAAGGCTTCGAGCCGCCCTGAGCTGTTCCTGAGCGCCAGGATTTCAAGGGGATTGCAGCAAATACACGGGATGAAAGTGGGGGTTCTGAGCTCCCCAGAGCACTGGTGCAACTGGGAATGGCTGATGCAACGGAGCTGGGAGCTGAGTGAGGCCAAGTCAACAGTTGGACCTGGTGAAACCAGGAGTTTGGGTCTAACCCTGGATATCACAAAGGGAGGGAAGTTCAGCTTTGGGCCAGGTCACCTGGACCTGGTATTCTTCTCACTTGTGTTGGTTTTTGTCCCCTTTGTGTCCCCAGGAATTGCTTCTGTGCTGAGCAAGTACAGGGAGTTGGAGCTGCCCAGGAATTGTCCCTGCTGGAATGCTGGAGCTGCTCGTGGCTCCTCCTGAAGGGGCTCCATAAACCTCTGGTTCCCCTGCATTGCCAAGGTCCTTCTTGGAGGTGGGGAAACTGAGGCATTCAAGACAGGCTGGGGACAAGAGGAGGGCTGTTCCCTGGAGCCCTGGGCTGCTCCTTCCCACCAGGTGACAGGGGTTGGGGACAGGAATGACACAACACAATGGTCCAACACACAGCAATGCCAGGCAGTGGAAAACAAGCCCGAGGGGGGTGCTGAGAGCTGCACCCACAACCTGGAGGTGCCAGAAGCCGCGGGGTGATGTGCAAGGTGCTGTACAACACCCACAGCTGGGAGAGGCAGGGATACCTGCCCCGGAGCCGTGTGGCTCTCAGCGAGAGGTGATGGTCAAGCGAGGGTGAGGTGGAGGTGGGGACTCTGCCTCAGGAAACGAGGACTTGCCCTGGTTTTGAAAGAAGAGGTGTTGGTGCCCCTTCCCAGCCCTGCTCAGCCCCCCACCCCCGCGAGCTGCTGCTGCCCCCCCCTGGCTGCGAGGGCTCCGCTCAGGGGAAGTGTTTTCCACCTGGGAGCCGAAGTCCCTTCCCAACACTTCTTAATGAGCCTTTGGGAAAGGGGACCAGAAGCCCATGGACACTCAGTGTCAAAAAAAGAGCTGCATCTTGGCTGGGACATCAATACAAACCCCAGAACTCCTTTTGGGGGGGGGTAGGTCTCACCCTGCTCCAGGTTCTGGAGCCATCTCTCCATGCAGAGCCCATCAGCCATTTTTAAGGCACCCAAATTCCTGCTTTTCCTGCATGTGTCCTGCCTGGAAATGCTGCCTGTGTGGCTTTTCCCTATCCTGGGTGGGACACCCACAGCCTGTCCCAGCAGTGTCCCCCTGTGAGCACGTCTGATGCTTCATGGAAGGGAGGATGAGTTTGTCTGAGTCTCTGCAGGGAGAAGTGTGGGAGCCCCAGGGTGCTCTGCACAGCCCACACCCGACCTGCCCTCCACCTCACGGGTCCTCTGTGCCAGGGGACTCATCCTGCCAAGTCTTGATTGCCCAAACTAGCAAGGGCTGCAGGCTCCAAAGGGACACACAGCCCTGGGTGTCCTGAAAGCTGCAGCAGCAGCTGGGAAACCCCAGCCCTTGTTTCCAGCACGGTGCAAAAACTCTGGAGAAGAAGGAAAAACCTCACAAAATCGTGGAATCATAGAATGGGTTGGGTTGGAAGGGACCTTAAAGATCATCCAGTCCCACCCCTGCATGGGCAGGGACACCTCCCACCAGCCCAGGCTGCTCCAAGCCCCATCCAACCTGCCCTTCAACACTGCCAGGGATGGGGCAGCCACAGCTTCCCTGGGCAACCTGGGCCAGGCTCTCACCACCCTCACAGCAAAGAATTTCCTCCTCATGTCTCACCTCAGTCTCCCTCTTCCAGTTTGAAGCTATTGATGGTAAAAAAGGAAGCATTTGACCTGCCTGCACCCACCTGGGCCCTCATCCTGCCTGTGGACAAGGGTGTCAGGAAATTACTTGAGCACATTTGGACTCAGTTTCCCTGCTGACTGCAGGAAGGTGCTGCTGGTCTTCAAAACGTGGCTGTGCCGTTAACTCCAGGCACTGTGCAGCAGCTGCCGAGATGCTCTGGGTGTTGAAGCCTCAGCCAAGGAGCCGGCAGGCGTGTCTGACACCCGAGTGGCCCCATCAGGGCTCTGGCTGCCCCACCAGGGCAGGCTGGGACCCGGGAGCTGCCCACATCCCTGCTCACGTGTGGGGGGAGAGGAGATGCTGGAGCCACAAGAGGGAGCAGAAACTCCTTGAGTCTGGGAGCGAGGCGGGGAGAGGAGCTCCCACTGGGGCTGGGGCACCGGGGTTGCTCTGGTTCCCATGGGGATTTTTTTTTTCCCCCCCTTGGTCCTCAGGTGAAACACGAACAGATGCTCTTGTTCCATCAGGGATTTCTGCATCCATCCCTCCTGCCAGAGCTTCTGCTGCAAAGTGCCCCCCCAGCCCGGGCAGCCTGCAGAGCAAGGGGAGAAAGCAACAAGTAAAACCCAAACCAAACTGGGGGGTTTTTGAGCCCCTAAAGGCACAGCAGCAGAACAGGGACACAGGTCCCAGCTGCCTGGAAGGAAGAAGAATGGCCACCCTCTCCCAAGCCTCCCCACCACCCTCAGCCAGCCCCACGCTCCTGCCTGGAGCTGCAAGTGATCAATTCTCAGTTAGGTTTATTAAAATTCCCTGCTGGGGGCTGGGCAAGGCAGGCGAGCCAAGATGTGCACAGAGAAATCAGGAGCAGGAGTCCCCACATGGTGTGGAACCTGCTGTTCTGTGCCATCCAGACACCTTTCCAGGCATGCTGGGGTGTTCCAGGTCCTGGGACAGGTAGGGTTGGGATTAATCCAGACACACCTGGAGTCCTCCTTTCACTGCGGGAGCTCAGGCAGACAAGGAAAGGGGAGGGATGATGAAAATTCCCCTGGGATTGGCCGTGCTTGGGGCTGAGGGGCCTGAGGGAGAGGGTCTGGGATGGTCCAGCCCTGGGAGCAGCAGTGATGCTGCTGGAGCTGGGAACTGGGCAGGGAAGGGGGTGTGGAGCAGGGCTCGGGGTGCAGCATCCAGGGGCTCCCCCTGCCAGGGGGTGAAGGAGCTGGAGGGGGAGAAGAGGGAGGGAAAGGTGCTGGGGAGGGGGGGGGAAATCACCCAGAAGGAATCAGGGAGGGGGTGGATCTAGCTCGGGAGGCACAGGACAAGCATCGGTGAGCAGAGCTGGGGGTGGACGGGGCTGGATTGAGCCAGCGCTGCTCTAAGGAGTGGGAGGCACAGAGAGCGCCGGGGACTGGTGAGAGCAGCAGTGACCTGGGGACCAGGGAGCCCGCGGGGGGGACACAGGGCCCTGCTGCTGCTCCAGCACCGGGGGGGGGGGGGGGTGGGAGCTGCAAGGGGGTGGAGTTGCTGCTTTGGATTATTTTTTTTTTCCCCTTCTTTTTTTTTTCCCTTTGAACACGGCGAAGACTTTCAGCTTGGAACTTGCACTGGGGGAGCTCCCAGCCGGCAGGAACCAGCTCCCCCCCCGCCCCCCTGCGGGAGGACCCCCCGGGAAAGGGGCAGCACCGACCCCTGCCCTCCTGGGCAGGCTGAGGGCAGGAGATGGGGATGGGCTGGGCTGCCCCCCTCTCCTCCTCCACCCCTTCGCCTTTCCTCCTCTCTTTTTGCTGCTCTGGGGGCTGGTGCTAAGGCTGCCCGTGCCCAGAGGGACCCGGGACTGATCCATCCCCACCTGCCTTCCCCGAGGAAGTTTCTCCTCCATCCCAGTGGCTGCGAGGAGAAGAGAAGCAGGAGGTGACTGGGAGCCCATCCCGTGCGCTGAGCCCTGGCACGTCGGGGCTGGGCAAGGGGACCAGCAAACCTTCTTCTTGCTTTTCCCAGAGGTTTTGGGGTAAACCATGAACGGCTCCTTTTTTAACCAGACCCTCCTGGAGCAGGGAGCTTACCCCAACAGGACCCAGGGCCTGGGGATGCTGATGAGCTGCTGCAACGGGACCAGCTCCGTCTTGGCCACCGACGGCGGCTCCTCCGTCCTGGAGCCCGATGAGAGGAGCCTTTACATCACCCGGGTGGTGCAGATCGCTGTCCTCTGTGTCCTCTCCTTGACTGTCATGTTTGGTGTCTTCTTTTTGGGCTGCAACCTGCTGATCAAGTCGGAGAGCATGATTAACTTCCTGGTGAAGGACCGGAGACCTTCTAAGGACGTGGGAGCTGCGATCATGGGGCTTTACTGAGCCTTTTGTAGGCAAGTGGAGTGTCTGGAGTTGGTGCTGAGATGGACATTCCCATGTGTTTGGGGCAGCTGGGGGGAGTGGAAAGGGGTGGAAGGTTCTTTGAATGTGGCTGTGCCCATGAGAAGACAAAGCTGAGTTTCCCAGTCAACAAACTCAGTCGTGGTGAGCAGGGAAACGTCCCCAGAGCTCAGCCAAGCACCAGCAATGACCAGCATCTTGTTGCATGCAGAAATGGCTTGAGTTTTGCATGAAACTTGCAGGAACAGTGATCATGTGCAGGTCTGGACTCTCTTCTGCTGTTACCTTGGATACTGCTACCTGGGATTTAGGGCTAAAAAGAAAAAACAAAATGAAGAAGGGGGAAAAAAAAGAAGAAAAAGGGGGGAAAAAAAGGCAAATAACTGCAAGAAAAGAAAAGAAAAACAAAGTAAAGGGAAAGAAAAATGCATGACATGGAGCAGGTGTT